TTTTCTAAAAAACCGTGCCAGGACCTTGTAGAAAATTCATTCAAGTTTCTGAAACCCACCGTCGATTTTCTGTGCAACATTGATTTCTGAGATATCGATGAACAAAGAGAAAATGATCCATTTTCACTCAAAGTCCGATAGCTCAGCGAGAAATGGTCGTATCGAGACCAAAAAAAAAAGAAATTGAAGCTAAATGAACAACCTATCTAATCCATAAGGTGGTTAAGTTGGAAATTTTTTTTTCATGTCCGTACACCAAAAATAAGATCGAAATTTTTTTTTCATGATATTCATTAGATTGCGGGATACGTGTTACTTGAAAAATTTTTTTTTGCAAGATCCAAAAATTAGAAACTTCAAGCTTCAAATTGCTTTTTTTACTCTAATACGATAATTTTTATCAAAGATACAGCCATTTGAAAAATCGTCGAAAATTTAGATTTTTTTGATCCCTTAATTTTGTCCACTACTTTATGTAATTTTAAGCTAAATATTTTCTATGAACAGTGGTCTGAAAACGTTTAGTAGAAAAGTTACAGCGTAAAAAGGTGCACTACCAAAAACATATTTTTGTAAAATATATAAAAGTTAAATACATACAAAATTTACCTAAACACTACTTTATTACTACCTATTAAAAAACTTACAATATTCAAATCAGCATCGTCAACGTATTGTCCTTTCACGTTTTTAAAAATAAAAATCAATATGTAAAAATGAGTCCAAATGTTCGTGCTTAGGTATACCATGTTAATTATTTATTTTTTGAATAAAAAACACTGGTTCTTAAGTTGGTTAAAAGATTCAAACTAGAAGTGAATATCAATATGTATGTATTTATATTCCAATCGTTAATTATATTTAATTACAACTACTTATAACAAATTGAGTACTGAGAATTAAAAAAGTATATTTTGAAATACGATTCTATGATATTCCTTGTCTTCATTTTACTTAATTGAAGAAAACATTTTTATATAGTGTGTTTCAAAAAGGCGTTGCCAAACTTGATGGGGTTATAGAGAATGCTTCTATATTTAAGTAATTTTTATTAAGGATAATGCAAAAATAATAAATTTATAATAATTGTTCGAAACGACTTGTAGTAGGTTGTTCTTCAGTTCGATGCAAAACCTCTGCCTCAATGACCACTGTCCGTGCAGTTCATGGATGTCAACTTCCTACATCTGGTTTAAAGTTGCTTTTTTCTCTTAACTGATGATGGATTGACGAAAATGTTGTTCGGTAAGGATGTCGGCGATTCGGAAAGTGCTCAGCTTCTCCAGTGTTGCATCTTGCTTCGCCATAAATAAGATGCATGTCTGCATACTCTTCGAACGTAAATTGGTCCATTTCAACAACTTAGAAGCAACATTTCGTCGCAAACAAAACAAATGTGGAACACTCAATTATGACCGATCTTTTATTACGTGACAGCTCTGTTCATTTGTTTCAGTATTCCTCACAGCGTGACACAGATGACATTTTATGGCTAGATTAGATGCGTGCAATAGAGCTTTTATCACACAGTTGTGGATAAAATTAATTTTTAAGATGGTTTGTAGGACATGCAGTTGGTAAACACTTGTCAGAAGACATAAATGTGTTTATTTTGTTTTAAATCATTTTTTGAGTTATCATTGATAAAAATTACTTAAATATAAAAGTCTTTTGGTGCCAACAAGATAACATTACGTTTTTGGACAACAATTGCTCCAGGGCCAAACCGGTTAATTTCCGACCACAATGTCTACTATATCACCCTCAAGTTTGGCAACACCTTTTTCAAACACTGTATATTTATATAGTCGTAATCAATTATGAAAATAAGAATGTATATTTGACACACATTTTAGTATTTACTAAAATAATCAGTTTTTTAAATTTATTATTAGTGTTACCTATTATTTTCCTATCGTCTGTTCCAAAATTTTGGCAGGGCCCTATGGAACCATCTATACCTACTACGATCTTCACAAACGTTTGTAATTTAATTGTATTTAATTTATTTAATTAAATGCACCGAACTTTTTTCATTGACCGAAAAATAATGATATTAATTCAGCAGAATTTAATTTAAAAAAAATTTCTTTCAATCAATAAAAAAATAGAAAAACAAAAACACCACTCTAAAAAAATTTGAGGATTTATAAAAACAGTTTTTTATAAGAAAAAAAGAAAAATTTTCAAAAATAGTAATCGTGAAATTTTCGTTTTTTTTACGAAAATTGAAAAAAAAAGCAGTGAAGATAGGTTCAGATAATTTTGATCTATTTTTTTTCAAAAAGTATATTGAAAAACAAACATATTGAAAAAATAACGTCCCGATAACTCAATTTTTGAAAAAGTTATAGTTACTTAAAAAAAAGCTATTTTTTTCAAAAATTCATAACTCAATGGGGTAGAAAACAATAAAAAAGTTTCAGCCAAATCGAAAGAGGTCAGGGTTAAAAGTGGTCTATTCGGCGAGGAATGCCCCATATATAATACAGAGTGTAACAAAAGTACTAACATTGTTTTCGAAATAAATTGAAAGTAGCTTTAGTTTTTAATTATTCACAAATATTTACATAAGTCGAGATATTATATTATTTAAAGCATATTTGTTCAAAATCAAAGTAAGTTATTCAATTCAAATTACCTAATATTAGTTATTTGTGTATTGTAATTTATTTCCAAAATTAATAAAGAGTAAGAAGTTTTGTCAGGTACGTAATAAAAAGTTACTAAGGAAGTAACACTAAAACAACAATTATTATGCTGTGGAATTATCTGTTAAATTGCATGTTTTTTTTTGAGAATATAATATATATAATTTGGAAAGTAATTAATNAGGGTTGGCAGCTAATTATGAGACACCCTGTATAAACGAACACGTTTATATCAAATTTTGTTACTGGATTGAATATATTCTCGGAAACTATCAAATTTTGGACTATGGTAACTTGGATTAGATCATCATATTTTGACCTCACTGTCAAACACTGTCCAGTTGTTCTCAAATTATTATAGTGTTAAATTGAAAATCCCTGAGAAAATGAGTGCGAAACTAAGCATTATTTTTTAGATGATTTATGATGGTTTAGGAATGGACGTCATATTTCCGATGAATGATTCTATGGACTTTATATTCAAAGTCTTATGTTCAGAAACTACATATTTTATGAAATTTTGCAGACATATTTTATCGAACATTGGAAGTCATGCATCTCATCTTATTACCCAGGTAAGCTATAAAGAAAATACTATAATATTTGTGAAATACACTTAGGTATGCTAGAATTGAACGATAGTATATGTTTCATAGGACAGTGTTACTTTAAAGTATTAATACTTCTCAACAACGATTTTTTTTCCTAATAGACAATTAACTTAATGCTATAAGGATTATATAAATTTGTGAGCTATTTTTCAGTGTTTAAAATATTTTGGGCAAACAAATTAATATATTTATTGAAAATAAACATATACCCATAAAAATATCTTCTCAAGTGAAATATAGACATATATTTTAATCAACGTTGTTGTACCAAGGACAAATTCAGCAGATCTATTACATTCGGGATATAGTTCTAGCCGATGAAGCTCATGAACTATGTTTAGGCATTGTCGATAGCATTAGGTTTTATTCTTTATGATCATTATGCCAAGCTTTACCCCACCGTGAAGAAAAAAATTAAATCATATGGCATCCAAAACAGCAGAACTTCGGGCAAAAATTCGCTACCTACATTTTTGGTATCTTCAAAGATATTTGAATAAATATTTTTTAATTTCATTAGCCCGTATCCGAAAAATTAGTAGTTTTATACCCTTGAGGCATTAAGGTATTTTGACCTAAAATGATTCAAGGGACAACCTAGTAAAATTATGACAAAAACTTATAAAACATCCTTGTAGATGTTTAAAAGACATCAATGGAATTTTAATTTTTTAGGAAGTTGTTTCACTAGTTTTTACCGTACCACTTGCAAGGCTCGCTGCCAGACAGATTTTCCATTATATGCAGTGTATAAAATCAGGTTAGTATTCAGAAGAAAGTGTTACTATATTTTCAAGGTCATTCTCTCAAATAGAGTATCTATAAAAGAGGAAAATAGAAAGAGTACTATTTAAATCAGTTTCCTTATAAGAAAAACTACTTAATGGATAGGTAATAATCACAATGAAGATATGTACCTGAAAAGTGGAAAAAATTTCTATAAACGTACCTACAAGAAAATAGAGCGGGTAAAGTGCCCTTCTTTCATTTGTTTTTTGGAGTGCACAAATCTCCATAAACTCACAATATTGCAATGGAATACAGTCCTTATCAAATTTGAAGTACCTAAATATCTGGAAAATCCTCAAAGATATTAAGGTAAAATGACACCCAGTAGTCTGTGGTTATCGGTTTGGCGTTCTTTTCTGGGACACCCTGTATATTTGATTAGTGTTTGCATTAGTCCTCAGTATTCCAACTCGCCCTCTTATTAATTTTGTAATCTTTGCTTTGCGTTTTTGATTAGCTTCATTGTCACTTATATATTTTGAATATGGAAAGTAAATCTTTTTTTTGACAGAAGTTATTTTTGCAGGTGTATTTAGACAATACGACTATGGAGAAATTGATAATTTAAGAAGATATAGGACTAAAACACCACCAGAGTACAATCTAACAAAGGCAGTAGCTCCTGTTGCTATATTTTATGCAGAACGAGATGAATTTGCAACTATTAAAGTAGATTTACTTATCTCATTACAAGTTCTCTTTCACTAAATATACTATAAATTTGAACGAATTATATTAAAAAAGTCTATAGTAGTAATTCAATAGAGTGCTTTTCACTTTGTACATTTATAATATTTCTTTGTATTATGATGGTTTTAATATTAATAACTGGTATATTTTAGGGCTCGCAGGAGATTGCTAAGGTTTTGCCAAATGTGATACTTCTCTATAAAGTGCCGTATAAATACTTCAACCATATAGATTTCATTCTCGCTAGTAACGCATCTAGCTTGGTGTACAAAAGAAACGTACAGCTATTCAAGAACTTTGATAATGGACAACTGAGAGATAAAAGAACATGAATCGAATATTCTAAAATCAGGAATTTAAATAATATTTTTTATACATGTTGTCAATTTTGTTGTTGTAAAAATTATAGAATTTACATTAAAAAAGTATTGCTTTCTATATCAATATTATTAAGTCACCAAGATACGATTGATAATATCTGCACCAATTTGAATGACTAAGAAGCTCTTAAAAGACGACACCAAAATCTTTCCACCACTACATGTGTTAGTCAATTTATGTCAAGTGCCATATTTAGGAATACTACAGTATCATTTAACATAACACTTTGACGAACTAAATAATCTATTGCTTTGAATGTCAATAGAAACGATAAATGGCTCACTTTTGACGAGACCATCAATGGGCATACGACATCTGTGCAAAATGTATATAAGCTTCATATTAAGGATAACGTTATTAAAAAGCACAAAAGTAAGCGGAGATTGTAGTGCAGAGGGACTTTGAAGCACGTCGATCATTTCCTAGAACATTTCAAGGAGATTAAGTTACTACGAATAAGCTACGAACGCTCTCATAAGATGGAGGACAAAAGTTTTGTACAGATATATAAGCCAATAGTTGTCATCAAGTGTTTCTATACCTTTTATTTTACAAATTAGATCGATGTCTGTGAGAAGTGATATTGTTCCGATTTATGTTTACTTATGAATCCTTTACCAACCATCCTTTGCCCAAGATTGAATGAAACTTTGGGTAATATTATTTTTACTGAGAACATGGTTTGCAAACAGCTAAAAAGACTGCTCCACCGAGGCCTATCTGTACCCCCTTAACTCATTTTATAAAAGCTTTTCTCTCAGTTAGTCTAACGTCCATTTATGCCAAAATTTTGGAGAATCATTGCAATTTTTTCACTTATAATGTAATACAAACTTACTTACCATCTACATTATTCGACACAACTGATGATCCAGAACTCCCAGTTGACATAAAATATTTCGACTTCTTAAAGGTCTGATAAAATTTTTAGGAGCAAAAAATTAGAAAACACTGATATTTTCTCAAAATTTTTTGAGGACATATGTTACACAGTGTTCGACTTGGTAGACAGACACCCAACAGTAGCACCAATAGAAGTCTTCTCTTGGTTTGTCATGGTATGGGGGCACATCCAGAACATCTTTTATTACTTAGTAGACGCTTTCTAGTGTATTATCTAACCGATAAAATGTCGTCTGCATATAGATAAATATTTTATTCATATAAGATATGCTATTCAGTAAGCCCGAACCTCAATAGTGTTTATTATACACTTATTTATAAATAATGTGTAGCAATTCTCAGTTTATATTTATTTATTATACCTTGTAATTACATCTATAACTTTATTATTTAATAAAATATCGATATTTTTTCCCCATACGAAGTCCAAATGATTCCAATTTTTAGAAGGGACTTTGTACATTTCAACCACATTTGGTAATAATTTTGCAAGTATCTCCACATCCTGCAACAAAAACATATTTCGGTTTGTCATAATGGTATTCTACAACTTCAGAGTATAATCTAAGTTGATGATATGAAAACTTATACAAATAAGGAAGAAGTCAATTCGTTTCGTTTGGATATTGTAAGAATTTTAAACTACTGATAAAAGGTGTAGTTCATTGATCGCTTATGGGGAAATAGTTAAAATCAGTACGAAATTTTAGAACCCTGAGAAATTTAATAGGTATCATCTAAATGGTATTTGGATAGTTAATGTATGTTGGGAGATGTAATCTAAAAGTATTGGTATAGTTTATTTAGGCACCTAAAATGAATCTTTGAAAAGGTTTTGGATGAACTAAACGATTATATGCCAGGCTTATATGTCTGTCATTTGCATATGTTTCTCATGCAAATCAGCCCTTGATATTAATTCAAAATTATTTTAAAAACGGGTTTTTAGCTACTTTCTAATGCTAGAGCTCAGAATTGTGTATTACCTCATTTTAGTGAGATGCTGGATAATTTGTAGTTGCCTATTAGTTCCCAAGAAACTTTTTCTGAGTTACAGTGTAACTTAATAGCCAATGTATTTTGACAAAACAGTGATAAACTGTCAATTTGAATAAATTCCTACTTAGATTCGCCTAGCTAACCGGATAAATAAATCATTTTGATGTCTTTTTTAATCTAGCGACATATTACCTCCTTCGTAGCAACAGAATCAGCTTCCCCATAAAATAGGGCAACCGGAGCGGTTATGTTTTTTAGGTTGTATTCGGGTGGGATTTTTGAATTATATCTTCTTATGTTCTCTTTTGGACCCCAATCGTACTTTTGAAACTTACCTGAAAATATATAATAGTCTGTATTTTATTAATTATGTCATTATTAATTAGATTATATTTAGATATCAGATTAATTTTCAGATCAGCAAAAATGATTTGGATTCTGGATTTAATAAAAAGTTTAATGTTGAGACTGGTTTTCAACTGAAACTATGATTCCTAATAGAAGTATAGGCTTGAAATACTTGAAACCTATTATTAATTGTTAAAAATCATCGAAAGGATTTACCTTTCTCAATAATTTGAGCATAATGCAATACTTGTTTAGCAGATGCTCCAGCAGGAAAATTTGATAAGGCCAGATTGATGACATTCTGTAATAAAAATGATATTTGTATTAGTTAAGAAGTGACCTTAAGAAATGTACACATTGAAGAGGAAAAGCATGAAAATACAGACACATTTTATTTAAGAAAGGGACAACTGTGCTGAACTTAATGAATTGTGCTAGTCTCGTATGTCTGAATTATTAAAATAATATATACAGGGTCGGAAAGTCCCCATGGTTCATTTTTTCAATTCAATTTTCAGAATCGAGATTTTTTTCAACCTAGAAAATGGTAAAATAACGAGAAAAAAAATAAAAAAAATTAAATTTTTGACGATTTTGGAAATTTTTAAAAATCTTGAGCGAGCTTTAATTTTGTTTTTTTTTTTTTGAGGGGGCTCTTAAAATATGATAAACTAACATATTTTCACAAGGGACACGAAAAAAAATAATCGTTTTTTTGGGCCACTCTAATCTACGTACTCATATAATATTCGTTCTATCATCAGCAGATAAAAGTAACGTTTTGTTATACTTATTTACACGTGGTTTGTCCATTTCCTTGTCTTCAAACAGTATGGAAAGTAGGATACGACATATTTCAAAAGGTAATAGATTCCCTCTACCACATAAAGCTTTATTTATGGCTTGTATATTTCTACTTGAAATAAAAGGTGGCAGTTCGTTCAGATGAGCTTCATCGGCCAAACGCTGAAATTGATATATGTTAAACTTAAGCATAGAGGGCTTATTATAGTACTTCGATAAATATTGTGTGGGAAGAACAATACAAAAATAAGACTATAGGTACTTAGTTGAACTACTATTTTGTATTTTCTACACCAAAACGTAAGACAATTCATCCTGTTGGAGGCACCTGTGATAGGTACAATTTTCTATAAACCATCTTATCTTTGCAGAGGAAAAGTGTGGACTTACATGCGAGAAGAAAACCTAACTAACTTAACATACAATAGGTGTATTACCTCCAAGAAGCGATAAAAAGGAGATATTATTCTAATAAATGGATTTCTGAAGTGTTTCAGAATAGCTACAGGGGCTAAAGCTGCCATTACTGTTATTCTTTTGTTGTATTCTGGACGTTCAGAACACATTGCAAAAAATGCTGAAGCTCCTTGAGAAAGTCCAACGTAATGCAGCTGATTGGAATCTGTTTTATTTAGAATGTAATCGATGGTAGCAGGAAGGTCATAAATTCCAATTTCATTAAACCTAAAAATATCGCAATGTTTATAAAAATAACTCAACGGATACATCAAGCAAACACATCAATGTTTTGACTACTGCATGCTCTGGAGACTAAAGCCCTAACCAATAATGAGATATAACCTACAAAGCTTCATTTTATAGTACCTACTTACAGATTAGTAGGTCGCTCTCTGCCAGCAGGAACGAGCAAATAGGCACTAGCTAGCAGTGACTATTTAGATGTAACACACTTTGTTGGTTATGTCCCACCACACATGCAGTTGTTGTTATTTAAAATTGTTTCTAGTTTAAAAGTAGACTAAGGGAACATAATACTGAAGTGAAACAAATTCATTGTTTTAAGTAAAAATGTTGAAATTATAGTATTACTACAATCATATTGAAATAACTTGGTCATGGAATAAGTGAATTTGGTAATGAAAGACAGCAAGTGTTATTTGTTTTCGTAGAACATCCTTCTAAACTAAAGGACTGAGTTTTCCATTTCCTTACATTCCTCTGCTAAAAATAGAGTCAAGTATTTTAAGAGTAGAATAGTAGTGAACAGCTATTAATATTAATTACAATGACGAAATAAAAAAAATTTGCTCCTTCTGGAACAGAAGAAATAAATTCAGCTGATGATATCTGAGTGAGTACTTACGAAAATTGCCAGTATTGTTGATCTTGGTCTGGATTTAAAGTTTTATGCTTTCTGGAATGCCAATTTCCTCTAGTATTACTGAGCCATACATCATATCCGTTGTCTGCTAACATATAAGCTAAAGATTTATTGGGACCCACTAAAATTAAATTCTCTGCCGATCCTAAGAGGCCGTGAGTTACAATCACTGGATTGTTTTTTCTTCTTTTATCAGTGATTCTACGACCATACGGAATTCTATATACTTCCAAAAGATATCCGTCTTCAGTTTCAATACTGTGAGTTTCCACTGGGTAACCGTACTTGTTTAGTATCTGTGTCTAAGTGCCACGGAAAGCAAAATGTATTTATTTAGTATTAGCGTTTAGGTCATTATAGCAACTTTTAGAAATATTAAGTTGATCAAAAATAATTCCTTCCGCGTTCTGGAGTTGCATCAGACATTACTCTATGACGAAGATGATTATCATACAGAAAATATACCTCAAATATTCCTCCCTCTTTTGCAATGCACTAGTGCTTAATGAAAACAAAAATAAGAAATAACATACACTAGTGGAAAAAATTAAGGGATCAAAAAAAAATCTAAATTTTCGGCGATTTTTCAAATGGCTGTATCTTTGATAAAAATGGTCGTATTGGAGTAAAAAAAAAGCAATTTGAAGCTTGAAGTTTCTAATTTTTGGATCTTGCAA